TAAATTTTTTTAAATTTTTTTTCCTTTTTGTCTTTTTTCGTGACCGGCAACGGATCGCAACCCTCAGTGTCGCGCCCGTACTGGACCGGGACCGGCAACGGGATCGCAACCCTCAGTGTTGCTCCCGCACCTCGCTCAGTCAGTGAGCGGCCGGTCTGTATGTGGGATCCTAACCCTCAGCGGGAGCACAGCCACGCTCCCAAGCGGCGCACTGTAGCAGTGCACCACCGAGCCGGCCCCCTATCATCCATTTTCTTAAAACATCTTCATGTGGTTCTTTTCCAAATCTTCCCACTTCGTGAGAGGAACAAAACCAACTAAGGAAGTGAATATCTTGAAAGCCATTCAGGGTGATGGGGATAGCCCAGTGCCTGCTTAGGGACAGTCACAGCTTTGTGTTAGGGAACAGGGGTAGTTGATGGGCAGTGTAATCTCTTATATGAATTAATTTTCTGTGTTTTATGAAAGCTAAACAAAGGAAGCCTTTTAGTGATAGACGTCATAGCTTCCGTAGCATTAGGTATTCACAAAACACATCTTGATTAGGGCTTTGCTGTCTTTGGGCTGCCCGCACCTCTGAGCTATAGCTCTGTGTTTGGCGTTTACTGGCTTCCGAATGGAAGTGCTCCATAGTGGTTTAAATAAACTGTATGGATTTTGGAGCTTTGAAAAGTTCTAATTTGTTACATTGTAGCACTGTGTACACATATCATTCCTTTTTTTTTTTTTTTTAAAGAAGAGGTTCTTTTGAAAAAGTTCTATGCATTATTTATAAGGCTGTGTTACTTATCTGCTTAATACAAATGTCTTTTCTTAATATCTATCCTCCAGGTAATGAAGGCTATAAAAGTGGGAATGAAAGAATATGAGATGGAAAGGTAAGCTGTGTATCTCTGGCTAAAGATTAAAATGTAAAAAACAGTAATTTATGTTCCCTGGGCAAGTAACAGAGGAGGTGCCGCCGAGACACACACACATTGAATGGGGATTATTAGCAGGCTTCGGGCTCATGGGCACAGATTCTTTTTCTTCTGACTGTGGCCACCTCCCTGGCTCTTGGCAGAATGTTTGATGGTAATGGTCTTTGATGACTTTTCAGGGTGGTTTAGTGCCCCATCATTCCACTCTTGGACTTTGTTTCTGCAGTTTGCAGGAAACTTTACCAAATAGCTGCTCTTGTGACTCTGAAAGCCTCTAGTAAAACAGCTTGCCATTTTTATGTGTAAACACTGCCATTATGTTTGCTGTGCTTGGACGACTGGGTCAAGGGGTGGTTAAATGGCTCATAAAGTGCTCTGGAGAGCCCACTGGCCTTCGGCTCCAGTTAGGCTAGCAGCAAGCCATGCCACCTAGGGCGCTTCTTGGGGCTCCCAGCCATGGTGGGTGTGGCCCTGCCCACTCGGCCCTGCTCTGGGGACTCATGTCAGCAAGCTGCTGCTCATGGCACAAGGAAGCCCTCGGGTCAGGCCCCGTGCTGCAGCGGCTCCCTTCCCACCTCTGTCCTGGGGTAGGATGCCCCCATCCCAGGGTCTTCCACCAGTGACTGCACCACCTGGAAGCTGTGGAGAGGGGACACTGAAGAGGTGGCCATTCCCCCCTCCCCACCCCATGCTGCCCTTTCGCCTCTAGCCTTGTAAGAGCTTGGTTGTAGCCACCCATTTCCCACCTTGCAGGGCCCAGGTACCCCCACAAGTACCCTTGGGCTGCTCTGGGTGTCTGGTTTGGTGGGGAAGGGGGCGCAGGGCCAAGGTGCAGATGAGCTCAGCAGTGGACAGCATGACAATCCATTCACTGTTGCCATGGCTTGGGGACAGGTGCTTGAAAGGATTTCTGAACGGTGAGCCTCTGCATATTTCTCCCTTGTTACCCAGGACAGTAAGAAGTTGAAATGGCCTCGTCCTGGCTGATGTGGCATCCCAGGAGGGGGCATGTAACAAGTGTTCATAAGAGTCCCAGCTCTGTCATGCCCAGGAGGATGGAGAAGGGCATGCGGAGCTGTCCTAGCTTTTGCCTCCATGAGGTCCCCTGCTGCGGTGCGGTATCTGTGGTCTGATATTCCTAGGACCTCTGCCCACCATCCCCCAATCCCAAGGATCTGGGATGGGAAGAGTGCTGTGGGGCAACCCCAGGGAAGAGTGCTGGGCAGTGGGTCCTCAGATTGGCCCCAGAATCTGTTCCCAGTTGAATTGACTTCTAGTGACCCAGAGCTGATGCCTCAAATAAAAATAACTGAGAAATTGGAGCAGGAATAGCTTATCCCAGCATGGAGCCCTGCTGCCTGCTGTATGCTAGAGCCTTGTGCCCGGAGCTGCAGGGAGTCCAGCTCTGAAGGTGGCTCCTGGGAGGGACTCTGAGCTGCTCTCCCTCAGTGTCCCTGAGCCTATAGACAGGGCTCTGTGGGCAAGGGGCTGGGGCCCTGCAATACTTTCCCCAGCTCCTTGCTCCTCCCACCCCCAGGTAATAGAGATCTTCTTTTTCATCTTTTAGTGGGAAATTTCAAATATCCAAAAAGATAGGCTAGTATAATGAACCCCGAAGTCCCCATCAGGTTTTTGTATTTAGTTTTTTGTTTCGTTTTGCTGGAGCATTTTAAAACTGAATCCCAGACATCATATCATTTCACCTGTAAATACTTCAGTGGGTGTCTCAATTAATGAGGATACTTTTTTTCTTTTACATAACCACCATGCCATTATCACATCTAACCAAATTAATAATAATTCCTTAATATTATCAACATCTAGTCCATACTGGTCTAAAACTATCTTTTAGAGTCAGTTTGTTCAAGTCAGGACCTAAACAAAGTCTACTTGTGGTTTGAAGAGTGGTCTCTTGTTAAGCTGAGCTCTGGAGAGATCTTTCTTACCTTTGTCTATGAACTGCTCAACCTTCCCCTCTAGCCCACCAAGACCCCAGCTCAGCCCCGCTGCTGCCTCCTCTGTGGACCTGGGGCAGCTCTCAGGGAGATGGTCCTGATGCTGGGGGCCACAGCTCTGCATGCTGTGAAGCTTGATCCGGAGCAGCCATCCACAGGGTGCCACGTGGCATTGATTTAGCTATGTGCCCACTGTGCTGGCCTACAGTGTGTTGTGCCCACCTGTGGCTAGCCATCAGAGGTACAGAAGGGAAAAGTGGTACCTGCCTCGGAGCCTCAGCCCAGCAGGAGAGCCATCTGATCTTTGGGTCTCTGAGAGCTTGGCGGGGAGGGAAGAGGCAGTGGAGATGGGAATGGGTACTCTGCTGCAGGGAAAAGTGGATGCAGGATGATAAAAATGAGAGACAGGTAGGGACAGAGGGTGTCACCCCCTGAAGATGGTGGGAAGATGGTTGTCTGGGGATGTTATCACATCAGGGGTGTCCCTGGCCAGATTCAACGAGGGTCACCCCCTCTGACTGCTAATTCCCAGACCAAAGCCCCTGGGGGCACCTGCAGCCCTGAGGTGGGCTGACTCTTCTTTCTGCCTTGAGCTGCCTCCCTATGGGTCACTCTGTGACATATGTGGTCTGTGTCCTTGAGAGCCTGGAGGCCTCTTTTTGGGGGCCAGATCTCACTTCTCTGCACAGTGTCTGATGCACAGTTGGTGTCAGGAAATATGTGTGGTTGGTTAGGTAGATGGATAGAAGACAGATGAAAAAGGTCCTGAGCTATTTCTCTGCTGTCCTCTCTGCCACTGGGAACTTCAGAATTCTTTTCTTAACTAGTTGGGGAATAAAAATCTCTTCTAAAGAAGGTCTTGTTGGTTGCCCAGGGAATGTGGCCCTTTTAACACAGGCTGGAAAGCTGCCCAATGGGGGTTGGGGTGGCCAGACTGCCATGTGGACCGCTGATTCACTGGGTTAAAAGTAAGCGAGCTGCTCTTCTGTGTGTGCTGATGGCACCCTGCAAGCCTGGTCGGCATCCCTGCAACCTGCCAGGCCTTCTCCTGGGGGAATGGCCAGCCCCACATAGGGACACCAGGCAAGAAGGGCAGGGAGTCCTGCATGTCAGGCTGGAGGCAGGGGTGAGGGATGGGGCATACCACCGGGACAGCTGTGCTCAGACTCAAGAGACATTGGCCAGGAGACCCACTTCTAAACCTCATCTTTTTTGTTGCTGTTTTATTATCAAAGATTTGTTATAAAATCTTGAGGGCATGTTTTAAAAAAGTAAGTGAGCTGATGGCTTTTACGAAGACACCTCCTCCTTCATGCTGTTCCTGTGAGCAAGATTTCAGAGGAAATGAAAATCATTTTCCGAGATTGAGATGTAGTAAATTGTGTTAAACCAATAAGACGTAAATGTTTGGGTAAATTGGGCTCTAACAGCATCTGACTGCAGCCCAATCAGGCAGTCTGTTTTACCACCTCATATTATTTAATGTTAGTGGCATAACTAGCTTGTGCGGCTGGCATGGGGCTGGCAGCTGAATCAATTACCTGCAAACACTAATCTAGAGCATGCTCGATGGGCTGTGTAAGCAGGTCCCAGTTAACATTTGCCACAAGGAGATTAATAAATTGATGTTTTTGACAGACCGGGACCTTAATTGAAATTATTCTCTCTTTCCCTCCAAGCTATGAATGAGGCATTTTGGACCCTTTCAGGATAGCTTCCATGGGGGTCGTGAGAGTCATTTAAAAGGCATAGATCTGTCAGGGTGTGATAGGGACAGTGTGGCGTTGTCCCCCTCCCCTGGCTGGGATCCTTCTTGGCAAACACTTGTAACCCCATCTGGAGAACCTCGACAAGGCTTGGGTTTTTTCAGACTTTTCTGTCACAGGCAACAGCCCACAATAGTAGCCTCCTGTTTTCTTTCAGTCCTTTGTTAATGACAAACTTGCCCAGCTGTGCTACTTTCTTTTAAAGGTCTTGTTGCTTTTTCCTTCCCTTTGACAAGATGGAGTGAGTCATGATTCTGTGTGTTCAGCCATGAGGTCCAGATATGAGGAGAGGTAGGGACACAGCCTAAGAGTCTTCTCCCCCACCATAAACACTCAGACACACGCCGCATCACTCTTGCCACGCAACACACGCCACACCCATACACCTACTGCATACACCTGCACACTCATGCCCCCCACACACACCTATGTACACACACCATGTACACACATTGCATGCACACACTGCCCCCCCACCAGTGCGTGCACCTACACACCCAGATATTCCATGCTGGGTCAGGTGGTTGATCTCTAAGTCTACCCACCCCAGGGAGCAGTTTGCAAATCCCTTGCCCCATTCTTATTAAACAAGACCAGTTTTTTTCTTTTGTTAGGACTGAAAACTTTAACTCCAGTAAAGAGAGCTGGGAGGCCAGGGGTTCTGTAGGCACCTCTAGCCCTACTCACTGGCGGTGCCGTGCCTTCCCCAACTTGTCCGCTTGGTTAACCCTGTACACGTCACTGCTCTTTGCAGTGTACCCCACCCCTGCTGACCCAGGCACTAGCTTCTTGGTCCTGTCTGCAGG